TGTTTTATAAGCGACGTGGTTCATGTGGCAAAGGCCTGATCATGACACTTACTCAGAGGCTTGAGCCTCGAATTAGTCACCCAGACGCAGGGTAGGGCCAATACCGCCTCAAGTTTGCACAAATGGGGTGACAGGGGTCAAGTGAAATGTGAACCAGAGAGAGGGTAGACGGATCTTATGGGGCAAGAGAGACTATGGTAAGACCTAGGGAAGGACTGCGTAACAATATGGCAGATTAATCAACATTCCCAGCACAATGATGATAGCAGATGAGAAGGCCAGTGTGGAGTGCGGAGGGTTCTCATGAAAGCCGCTCAAAAGGGGACACCGTACCACATCTAATTAAGCAAGTAAAATATTGTGACAGTGAAGGCGTGATTAGAGGATATAGGAAATGTGAATAGGCCAAGGCAGAAGGGAAGATACCAAAACTGTTTAGCACACGTTTGATCAAAGGATCGGCTTCACTTGTCTCTTTGACGAATTGTAATATGGTGCTACGAATGGCAAAACTCACTGACGATGCCGGCGAAACGTCTGGGAATGTACCCCGTCCACGGTCCGACTTAGTAAATAATTATGCATACGATGGACTCAGGACAAGGTGCATTCCTCTAAGTCTTCCTACCAATATGACCAAGCTGCTTAAACAAGGTCAAACAACTTTTATAAAATTTTTCTCTATTAAGTAGTTTTGAGACTATTAGTAAATCAGTTATATGAAATGTATTCACCCTATTTCGTTTAAGGTAATGAGGACTGGTAGTTTTCCTTAAGTCTACCAATTAGGCATAAACATTCAGTATCGGACGAAAACTGAGCACTTTTTCAGCGAAATGAATTAGATTGCCCCGGAAACAGTGTCAACGAGAATTTTACAATAAAGCCAATGTAATTATGCCGTCTCCTAGTGGAATCGACTTCCGAATCCCTTGATAAAACACTTCCTTCCGAAATTGATGTGAGCTCGGCAATTATAAACCAAGAGATTGCCCCAAGCCCAACTTTTATCAATCACTCGATGGACCAAAAAATTGTTCTTTAATCAAGAAGTCGAAGCTAAAAGTCGTCTGCAGAATTTTTTGTTCTCTAGATTCAAAAGCTATACTGGCTGGTTAAAAATTGCTAATTAAGGCAATTGAAGATAAAACCAGTCAAGTGCAAAACTTTTGATAATCATAGGGCCTAATACAGCCATTTGATTCGATATTTTATTAAGGGAGTTACAACAATCCATTTTCAAATCATGCGTAAGGGCGAATGTGTAATATTCATTCAAAATTTATCCAGGTTCCTGGAATTTTTAGCCTCTAGTAATATAAATTGCCACAGATTGGCATGTTTCGATTAACAGCGTAACACTACTTTAGTCTTCCTGATTATAGGTTAAAATTAAGCTGCAGTGGATGAAAAGAATGCAATGCACAATGATTCGACCACTAACAAGCTACGATTCGTCTTTAAGTAGCGGATGGCCTGTACAAAAAATAAGGTTAACTCACACTTATAAACGTTTCGAGATTGATAAGAAGAAAAATATTATAAGTATGAAATGAAAGAGACAAAAAATATGAAAGCTTATCATCCTTCAGTTTGTCAGTAGTAGACTTGTCGGTGCCTATCATAGGAAACATGACAACCATGACATTACATTAAAATGATAAAGCACATGGACAAGAATTTGTACTAGTCTATTTTAATATATCATTCGCCCTATGACTTATATATCTACATAGAATACTGATGCAGGTCGGGGAGCTGCGGCCACGTAGGCTAAACGGGCAACACAGGCCAAACTTAACAAGTTTAATCTCGCTCTTAAAGTTTGGGAAGCGCGGCCAAATAGGAGTCCATAATTATTTCCATTATTAACGAGCCAATTAATAGTAATGACTTTTCTCAGTGAAATGAAACCTGGACTATTATACACAAATAAAGTGAAGATTAGGATACAAAGACCCTTAATTAAACAGTATTTGCAATATAGAATAACCAGGCATCGGTCAATGATATCACATAATAGCAAGCAGGCAATTAAATGCTTTATTCTGATAATTTTGTTATAAAGGGAAAAATGGGACATATACCAAGAGCAGTATTAGTAAACGTCATTAACTGGGCGCTTATGGTTTAAAGAGAGAAAAGAACGTTATGCTGAAATAAAAATATAATTTGTACAGTGACCTCAAAATAAGGGTACCAGGAGAACATAAAAAAATAAGAAGTAGTTTGACCTTGTTTTCGCGACTTGGTCATATTAGTAGGAAGACTTAGAGGAACGCACCTTGTCCGGAGTCCATTTTATGCATAATCATTTCCAAAGTCGGATCGTGGACATGGTACATTCCCAGACGTTTCGCCGGCATCGTCAGTGAGTTTTGCCATTCGTAGCCCCATATTACAACTAGTTAAAGAGACAAGTGAAGCCGATCCTTTGACCAAACGTGTGCTAAACAGTTATGATATCTCCTATCCTGCCCTGGCCTATTCACATTTCCTATATCCTCCAATCACGCCTTCACTATCAGAATTTTTTACTTGCTTAATTAAATGTGGTACAGTGTGCCTTTTTGAGCAGCTTTCATGAGAACCTATCCGCGCTTTACGCTGGCCTTCTCAGCCCCTTTAATCCTTGTGCTGGGAATGTTGATCGGAGTCTGCCATATTGTTACGCAGTCCTCCTTCCCTAGGTCTTACCACAGTCTATCTCTCGCCCCATAGAATCCATTTGTGATCTCTTTGTTTCAAGTATTTCTCTATCTGCTACTCGAAGTGTTATTGCCTCTCCTCTGCGGCTAGGTGACTAATTCGAGGCTACAGCCTCTGAGTAAGTTTCATGATCAGGCCTTCGCCACATGGACCACGTCTCCTATAAAACCTACTGTCAGCCCACTAGCTCCCATCGCCGCCGCGTCTATCC